CCCCAAAACCCCAAAACCCCAAAACCCCAAAACCCCTTAAAGCTAAAATTGCCAATATTAAGGAATAGAATTTGTTATTAATTAAAACTTCACTTATAGGTAAATAATTTATTATTGGCTAGAGTATTTGGATTTTTATTGCTTTTAAGGGCAGCAGCTCTCTTGCATTTATCGAATTTATCTCTGATGGTCTAGCACCTATACTCAAACTACTTGAATGTCGGTGTTGCCTAAGACTATATCACACTTGATATGCAGGTATCATTTGAAAGCATTGATCCTAATTTTGATTTTCTCATCCAGCTATACTTGGAGTTAGACTGAGTATCCTATAATGAAGGACTGTCACATCTGTATCTGATAATGTCATACTCCTACTCTTGCTCCATTTCCTCCTAGATGCTGCTTTGAAATGTCCTAAATTCTGACTCATTGCTCATTGTTTACAAAGACTCATAAGATTTTATCACCGGATTTTGTTGTAAAGGAACATAAATTTTTTCGGACATTTAACTTTATTGAAGCTCCTTATGATTTGAGTTTCCGTTAATGAATTTAGATAATTATTTCTTATTTGAAGTTACCTTTTTCATTTCTTTATTATAGTTAGATGAAACAGTCATTTGATGATTAGGTTTGGCTGAGTTTTAGTCAATATTGTGAATTATATTGCTTACTTCTCCAAGTATCTTGTATACTTCATTAAAAGGGCTTACTATATTATCACTAATTTTAATGTTCTCCTTGTCTTCTTATCTTTCAGATTAAAACTATTTAAGGTCCTTGCTTTAAATAATTCCATCTAAACAGTTTCTATTATTTCTTTTATACTGCAGTGCCTATTTTTATAATTATTAATACTTCTAGCTAGATCTGTTAATGCTTGACTCCCTTGGACTAGATACTTAAGTATTCTAAATAGTTGTGTATTTTTATAGCACTTGAAGTATGTTGTCTCTTATCTACTCATACTCAATTGCCTGCTTCTATTCTTAAATCTGTTGCTGTTGTTGATAAATATATTCCTGCTACTTCTTTCGTAAGATATATGACCTAAATGCTCTTTATATTTTCAGTATAGCATATTCTGGATTTATAAAAGGCCTTGGGTGTTCATGCGTGCTTAAGTTTGAGGTGTGATAACTTGAGTTACTGAATGTTTGATGAACGAATTCTTCATTAAAGGAATAAAGAGCATTTGTGCTTGATTTTCTCTTAGAATTGAATGAATTATTATCAAAGTGTCTATCAAGTTGAGGGACTTATTATATCCCAACAAAGTTTTGTGATTCCCTGTCTATCTTACTGTATTCAGTCCAATCAGATGGCTTCTTTGCTACATGATTGCTATTTATGATCTACTGATACTGCTTATTCTTATACTTAGGCAATGTGCTGTACTGATTATCGTCAATTTTAAACATTCTATCAGTGTTTTAATTTTATTAGTGTTTCTACTGAGACTATACAGTGTTGTAGTTTTAATGAAAATTGGCATGCAAGTTATTTAGGGCTTAGGCTTGATTTTAAATATAAGTCTTGAACTTCACCTAGGATACCTGCCCTTCATAGTTGAATCTGTCGCTCTAATTATTTTCAGCCAAGGAATCTTAGTTGTGGTTATCATTGCTATTTGGACTTTGATACCGACTAGATTTATTATAGTTATTGAGCTTAAAATCTGGAGAGGCCAGAAGCTATCTAGCTCTGTTGGGACTTTTACTCATGTTAATTAATCTATCTTTTCCATGCAGATTGTTATCAGATTGCTGCATTTTACTGTTTCAAGTCATGTTTGTTTAAAGGTAATTCTAAGAGGTAAGTGCAGTAAATATATTTTAAGCTTCAGTTTTATTACCACTTTTTTGTATATAGTTGTGCAAATTAGCCTAAGAGTTTCTAGATGTAGTGTAATCTTTCAATGTTACATTTTGCTTGACTGATTATATTCTACTTAAACCACCTTGTCTTTAATTTTGGAACAGTGATGTTTGCATCATGTTTAAAATCTAATTTTAGGTCTGAACAGGCTATTACTACTATTGAAACATATTATAATTCCTGCTTTGGTTAAACTAAGTCATATTGAATTGATTCTGTTGAGTTGCTTACTGCTAGAAATTGATGTGATTGTTTTATTAAACTGTCATTCGCATATCCCTGACTGGAGAGGCATTTGAAGATACTGATTCTCCATTTAAATTTAGCATTGACTTGTACTTAGACATCAATCTCTATGAATATGACTGAGTATTCTCACTTGGTGTTTAGTTTTAATTGCTATTTGCAGTATATCTTGTTCAAGAGCTGCTTGCACATTAACTTCTTGATTCTTACTTAGATCTATCAAAATTATTATTATTTTAAACAGCAGTGGAGTTGCCTTAAAGAGGTTTCTGATTCATAGTTTTATACTTAGATAGATTGTTATTACTATGAGAATGCTTTAATCCAGCAGCTCCTGCATTTGCTTAATTAAGAAAAGTCTCTTGCTTTGAGAAAATCTAAGCCTTGAAATCTTTAAGGTCGTCCACTCGACTAGTCCTCGATTTGCCATTGTTTTTTTCTTATGATATTTCTCTCTTAATTCTGAAATATTCCTTTCTGATTTACATATTTGTTTTATAATTCAATTTTTAACAGCAAAACTATCCTTATTATTGAATCTCTGACAGAAGGGGTTTTGGGGTTTTGGGGTTTTGGGGAGATCGGAA